AGCCGGCACTTTGGCCAGCAACTTAAGACTTGCACTAAACCTATTGGTATTTTATTTCATGTATTAATTGATTTACTTTTCTTGGATCTTTTTTCATTCACTCGCACTTCATTGGAGTCTATTTACACTTCACACACGCACTTTCACACAACACTATACTCACCCTAACAACACTATTTACACTGCACTGTGCGCCACGACGCCGACTTTGCTCTAAGCGTCCGTGGCGGCTAGGCATTATGTGCCCTGGCATTTGTAACGGGCAGAGCCTCACTCGTCCCGCTGGGAGCTTCACGCCACTGCTCTCAGAGCTCTGCGAGAAGCTGCGGCGGTACCGCTCAGAACGTGAAGGCCATTTGCTTGGGCCATCTTGCGCAAAATACGTCCGGTGGACCTCACAGTTCACGGCCTGGCCGGTTTCGCGCAAGAGATGCGGAGCTTTCGGGCCGAAAGAAAGGTTGAGGTCTAGTTTGCTTTATGCAATTCCTCTACGTACGCGAGTGTTCTACGTACGCACTTGATTTCAGAAAGAAGCGACGAAATTGATTTTTTCCCAAAATTTACACCTAAATTAACCAAATTCGTGCAAACTTCTTTCACGTGTATTCTCGAAACTAATAGTCGGGTTAAATTCTTGTTTGCTTTATGCAATTTCGCTTCAAGTGTTTTACCTACACACGTGATTTCAGACAGAAGCAACGAAATTGACTTTTTACCAAAATTTACACCTAATTTAACCAAATTCGCGCAAAATTCTTTCACGTGTATTCCCGAAACTAATAGTCGGATTGAGGTCTTGTTTGCTTGATGCAATTTCTCGCGAAGTGTTCTACGTTCGCACGTGATTTCAGAAAGAAGCGACGAAATTGACTTTTTCCCCAAATTAAACACAATTTGACCAAATTAGCACAAACTTCTTTCACGTTCATTCCCGAAAGTAATAGTCGGATTGAAGTCTTGTTTGCTTGATGCAATTTCTCGCAAAGTGTTCTACGTTCGCACGTGATTTCGGAAAGAAGCGACGAAATTGACTGTTTCCCCAAGTTAAACATAATTTGACTAAATTAGCGCAAACTTCTTTCACGTGCTTTCCCGAAAGTAATAGTCGGATTGAGGTCTTGTTTTCTTAATGGAATTTCTCGCCAAGTGTTCTACCTACACACGTGATTTCAGAAAGAAGCGACGAAATTGACTTTTTCCTCAAATTAAACCTAATTTGACCAAATTCGCGCAAACTTCTTTCACGTGTATTCTAGAAAGTAATAATCGGATTGAGGTCTTATTTGCTTTATGCAATTTCTCGCCAAGTGTTCTACGTTCGCACGTGTTTTCAGAAAGAAGCGACGAAATTGACTTTTCCCCAAATTAAACCTAATTTGACTAAATTCGCGCAAACTTCTTTCACGTGCATTCCCGAAAAAAATAGTCGGATTGAGGTCTTGTTTGCTTTATGCAATTTCTCGTAAAATGTTCTACCTACACACGTGATTTCAGACAGAAGCGACGAAATTGACTTTTTTTCAAAATTTACACCCAATTTAACCAAATTCGCGCAAACTTCTTTCACGTGTATTCTAGAAAGTAATAGTCGGCTTGAGGTTTTGTTTTCTTTATGCAATTTCTCGTCAGGTGTTCTACGTACGCACGTGATTTCAGAAAGAAGGGACGAAATTGATTTTTTTCTCCAAAATTTACACCTAAATTAACCAAATTCGCGCAAACGTCTTTCACGTGCATTCCTGAAAGTAATAGTCGGATTGATGTCTTGTTTGCTTAATGCAATTTCTCTTGAAGTGTTTTACCTACGCACGTGATTTCAGAAAGAAGCGTCGAAATTGACTTTTTCCAGTTTGTTTGCCGCTATCGTGCGATCCGTTTGAATTTGCTAGTCGTACTATATTGTACATAGTCCAACGCACGCACCGGTTTTGAAGAATGTTCGTACCACTTGTGGCAAGTGTTTGAAACTTCGAGGGCGGTGCAGATCTGCCAGTGGAGGTATCCACACACCCTGTCGAGTCTTTTCAAGTATTCGGTCTTCTCTGGAATTGAAGAAGATGAGACGTTATAATCAACGCTTTCTACTTGTTTCTGGCACATGCGACATTTATCATCGTGGGAAATTTTGAGCACCGCTTTATCATAATATCGTATTCTCAACACCTGATCTTGGGCAGCTATTACAACTGCTTCCAATTCTGGCAATTAATGCCTATTCTGTTTTAATAGCGTGAATTAGCTATTATAGTGCATGATTGCATGCATAATGTTAACTTTTTTCCTGCATGATGTTCCGGGGTCTATTCATGACAAATAGAAGAGCAGTTGGAGCGAAAACGAAATATTTGCAAGTAGATATCCAATCAAATTTGATAATTATAACTCCTTTACGTCACTTTCTCTTCGCAGAGTTACGTAACTTTCTGTTCTAAGGTTGTTCCTTCTTAAGCGCGAGAAAGTAACAATAATTTTTTTCTGAATGAAAGCTATTCTTTGAAGACAGGTCGTGAAATAATGTAATGTATAATTTTTCGAAAAGGTGAGTAATTATCGCCTAATTTTGCGAAAAATATTGACAATTTTAAAATATTTTTTCCCAAGAAACGGCACGAAATTTTTTCTTTAAATTATCTGCTCGAATGTAATCAAAAACGATACAAAAAGTGGTTCCATTTTCAGCGAACTCTGTGTTTTCGAAAATTGCAAAAAATTAAAATTGCGAAAGCACACTACTGAAGATATAGATTTTTGTTTTTATGTAATTCTTTAGACGTATTTCTCACGTCGTTAATATTTATATTAGCGGCGATTTGTTCACATTATATTCTTTAAATAATGTGATATAAAGTTTCTCAAAAACTTAACGATTTTTTGTGAAAACTATCTCAAAATTTCTCAATTTCAGAAATGCTCAAACGCCATTTTCTCAAAAATGGCTCCAAATTTTGTCTGCACACTTTTCGAAGGGATAGTGCTTATTGCACCAACTTATGACGTTTCATTTTGGGGTTCATTTTGGGGTATTTTTTTTCCTAAAATTATACATATGTATTTTTGGTGGGAGGGGAATCATTCAGGCCGTTAATCTGCACATTTCCAACAATTTGGTAATGTACTTCAAGCGACTTCTATTGAAGTTTCTCGAAAACTCAAAAATTTTCTATGTAAAAGAGCTTTAAATTTCGTATTTATAGTAGGGCTTATGCGCCATCTTCTTAAAAACTGCTCCAAATTTTTCAAAGGAAATTGCCATTTAGGTCAAGGTTTTTTATTCTTTCATATTCTTAAAATATTTCCGTTCTACTATTAGGAAACCGAAAAATGAAGAAAACTTAAGATAAATGTACATTAGATGGCGATATTCCCGTATTAGTTTTATCTTTTTCAACGGACTTTTTTTTGTTACATTTCCAAAGGAAATATAAAACTAATACGGGAAAGTCTGTGCCATTCATTAGCGTCACTAGTTTAACGTATAGAACAAGGGGAGCTTAAAAGAATGGCGCAGGGCTCCTTTTCTTTGATTTCTCTTAATTTTCGAAAATTGTAAATTTAGAAATAATGCAATAAAGATGTTGCAGCTCCACTAATTCGTTTCATAAAATGCTTTACTTTTCGAGTTCATATACATGAGAACTCTGGGTCCCGTTCATATTTTGTGCAGCCTTAATGTTTTGAAAATACGAATAGCTTTGATGTTTAGTCATTAATTACCTTGTAATGGCTATAATTGTGTTTATTCAATTGAAGGGATGAAAGAGGTTGCTGTACAATCTGAACCAGATTGTGGGGAGCACAATAATGCAAAATATTGCAATAGCATTAGCTTCTTTATTTCATTCAGGGTGATTTTCTTTATTCCTAGATTTTAGTATTTGTCTTTTTCCCTGGTACTTGCTTGGATGTGAGTTAACTTTTGAAGTACCCCATCTCGATCAGGTTTTCTCCAGTTTTCCTGATCCATTGAGCAAATGCTGAGATGGCCCTTGTTTTGCTTCTGGGCCAAAATATAGATTCACTATGCGCACGTTTTGTTGAACTCTCCTTTTGCTTGTAATGGTAGTAGAGGTAAGGGCGAGTTACTATTTTTAGAAAAATCATACTTGCAATTAGTTTACCGATGCAAATAAGTTTTCTATAACTCGGAAACGAAAATGTTTTTTCAAATATTGCTAATCTCGCAATTTTTAAAGTTTATTTTTATTTATTTTTGTTAAACTTTTACTCATCTTTCAACTATTTATAGTTAAAATAACGGGTAGAGATTCTGGAGCTCAAGTTAATGTGCGCAGATGATCTTCTCCCCCATACGTCAATACAGTTTTTACTGTTTTTATTATTATTATTATTATTATTATTATTATTATTATTATTATTATTATTTACTAAATAAATCTAAGTATTTGTCTGAGCCAAAACATACTACGCCGAACTTCGCAACGTGACACTCGCAGTTAAGCAATGCAGAGTGCGACGCTCACGAGATTAATACTAGGCTCAGTGGACCTCGAGCTCAATTTTAGAAAATGTCAAGAATTCCTCCCAGCGACCCATCCGCCTCCGAATATCCCACAGGGTGCAGAGGGCTGCGTGTCCCTATTTACAATTAGAAAGTAAATTAACTCGTATGTCAGCTGTACTCTATATCATCAATATAGTAATCTGCCACAACCGACGATTTTGTCTCAAGCTTTGACCAATTGTCAACACATTTTGACACACCAACGTCTGATATTGGAGTATCTCAAACAAAATTGGTACTCCCTTCCATCTTCAAATTCATCGTAACTTATTGATCAAACTAGCAAGTCTGTGAAACTTTTCAGAAAGTTACATGAAACCATCACCACTCGCAGAAACGTGTACCTCATTAAATAAACACTAGAAGACGAAATAATTTAACACAATGTTGCGCAATTCCCTTACTCAGTCATTGTCGCGTTTACATACTTTTCGCGTGCACGAACGTGCTCATTCCAGCTCGTACGTGCTACCTTGCTGCCATTTGATGTCCACTGCGCTTCGTGATTGTCTTGTGTTTCTTCCAGTTCCAGTGATCACCACCAGGGCCGCCGATAGGACACATGGAAAGAAACTCAGATCTTCCGTAAAAATGAGTTAACGTCTTCAATTTCATCATTCATTTGAAGTCAACTTTTTCGAAAATCAGTACTAGTGAAGTGCAGAATCATTCAAGTGTCTGTAAGTAAATTACGCAAATAAATTGGCTGGATCCTTACCTTTCGGTTTGTAGAGCGTTTCACTTTGAAGTTTCTGAAGAGGGGTATCGGAAAGGTATGGTAGAAGTGTAGTAGGGACTCAAATGTTGTGCAATGGATTTTAAACCATTCTAATAAAAGTATAAAATGTTTATAATACTAGTGTAGCGAATAAAAATGTAATGTCAGCTGCCTCTCTTTGTGTGATGTGTTGAAGCATCTGTAGAGGTTAGGTCATCATGAAAGTTGGGGAAAATGACCCATGGGGTGATAAGTAATTGCTTTTTCACCATGTAGATAACACAGATTTATCGGCGTTGTTAAAAGGAAAGCAAGGTTCAGAACAAAAGAAGATTAACAGCTGCTTTGTGTATTGTTATGCAACCTGGCTAGTATTATATTCATGCCATGTGTAATGAAATGTGTCATCGTCTGTGTGTATTTGTTACATGCTGAAAGTATACATATTATTTTCATATTGCATTTCATTTTAATGTTCTTGACACACTTTATTTTTGCCCAAAAGGGTTTACAATTTAAGTACATAACTGAAAAGGAAATGATGATTAAGAGGACAAAAATAGAGCAGACCATGGACGCCAGTATGCGAACCTCAAATTCATGAGTGGAAAGCTCCCAGAAACATGAAGTGAATGAAGACTGATGTAAGAATATTTGCTCGAGTAATTTTGAATTAATCGAAGATTATGTATGTAGCTAATAGACCAATGAAACGAACTGAGTTATTAATATTATTGAAGTTTTAAGAAGACTTCTCGGTGGGGGAAATTTGAAGTGTAATGAAGAATTTGCAATACGTGTGAATTTTGTGTGATCATTTTAAAGTATTCAGGTCAAATACATTTATTATTTCTAGAATTAGTAAATAATAAAGTTTTTGATTTAATCTTTCTAGTTTCGAGAGCTCCCTCTCTCTGGGAGGCTTCACAATGGAGTCTCTGTCTGAAGTCACCGATGTTATGGTGATCCTCCGACAATGGGAGGAAGAACATTCACAGTTCAATTACGATCCTGTTCCTACACTTACCAGGTGAATATGAACTGTATTTGTGTGCTTCTTTATGTCAAGAATGGGGAATATACTATTGTCATCTTATTTTACTATTACCATTATTAGATTAGCTGAAATCATTGAAGCTGAAACAGAAAACTACATGAAAATGGATCCTGATCCATTTGATGAACGCCACCCATCCCGGGCAGATCCTGACTGTGCTTTGGGTCATATCCTTAAAGTATTATTTCGAAAGGACAACTTTATGAATAAAGTATGTGTCATTTTGTTTTGTTTTCTGTTATTTGTGATTCTTTGATATTTTTCAATGTATTTTTTTGCATTTTCTAGTTAGTGAATGATTATCTTCGTGACAACTACTGGGCACGCACTGGTAACCCAGGAAAAGATTCTCGAAAACTAACTGTTGCAGTCTGTAGATTAATTTTGGACATTATGCCTGGGCTTGAAACTTCTGCTGTATTCCAGGTAATTTTATTGGATTATATGAAATTAATTAAATGTAACACTACATTTTACATTATTCGAAGGCAGGCAATAAAAGGAATGAGATGAAATTAATGTTTCAAGTACTTAAATGAATGATTATTATATTAATTGATGTTTTCAAGGATATACTCAAAATGTCTGCTATTAACTTAGCATTATCTTGTTTAGATGTTTTATAAGTGTATTTTATATTACAACTTTCTCAAGAGATGCCAGTTGTAGGGTTGGGTGATTTGAAATTTTATGGTTACAAGAAGATTGAGTTAATTTAAGGGTGAAGGATGCATTGAAATTGCTTAATTATGTAACATTGTGCTCATCCTAGGAGGTATGGCAAGATTTTATTGAAAGAATGGCAAATATTTTAATATTACAAAACCATGTTGTATTAATTGATGTAATTTTCGTGTGATGTTTAGATGCTTTTATTGAACTTGATATTTAGTTTTTGCATTTTTTAAAAGCTATACCTCTTAACAATCATATTTTATAGTTTCAAGGGTGTGGGTTCTTTGTTTTTTAGTAAACATTTACTAATGAAGAGACCTTCTTTTCATACATTTATTACTTTGCCACTTATAAAGAATTTAATAGCACAATTAACTTTAATGTACGTATTTTCCAACCAGAATGTATTAAGTGTATTTAGATCTTGCTTGATATGAAATATAAAATAATAACATTGTTCTTTTATTACATATACCCTACTTACTGTCCAGCAATGAAAAGTGTTTTCTTGTTTCAGCAGCCTGAAATGGAAAGCACTGTTCTAAGACTGTTTTCATGGGCTGAAAAATCTAGTGAACCTCTTCAGAGTTACGCTACAGGGATGCTTGCTGCAGCAATGGAAGTTCAAGACATTGCTGCCAATTTTAGGTAAAGTATTAGTTTTGAAGTTGCATGGAGATAACGTGCAAGTGAAAGTTATACAATCGTGTTTTGACTGTTAGTTACATTCATTGAAATGGCAGATCTTAAACTTAATAAAGGTAATAATGTTGTCTTGCCTATCTTACAAATGAGGTATTTAATTTTTAAAAAGTAATTTCTTTTTGTTCAATATTTTTGGATGTGGCAATGCTAGCAAATTTATTTTTAATGCTAAATGTTGATAATTGTGAAGGAAAAATGTGTTGTGATAATGACATTGATGTAGTAATTGATACCTATGGGGTTGGCAACAGTTGTGAAAATGACAGGTGAAGTTAGTTATGCAAAATAATGGAGAATTGATGCTGATTCAGTGCTTCAGATGGTTACTCAATATTTGAGAATGAAATTTATGTGATGATGAAGATGATGCTCATGGACGACAAAGTGTGGAAATATTTTAATTCAGAAGAGAAAGACACAGCCCATATAAATGTTATCAAAGAACAAGATTGGTTGCACTACTATAAAGAGCTGTGCTCTGATGTAGAGGACGAGACATCCAAGAAAATTACTTACTAAAAAATATAGGCTCTATAAATATGAAAGAATTAGAATGTGCTTTGAAAATGAATAGAAATAGAAAAGCTCAGGAATAGACAAAATGAATATTGAAATATGGCTGCGTTGATATCAAGACTATAGTACTTCGTTAATCTACACCGGAGCTTTCAACAAATACCGGAAGAGTGAAAAGTAGCTATTGTAAAATCCTTTTATAAAAGAGGTGGTTGATCTGTCTATGGAAATTATAGAGGAATACATTTTTTAACTCCTAGTTATAATGTATATTCTAGAATTCTGTATAAAAGACAGAAACCAATAGCTGACACCATCATCAGTGAACAACAAAATAGATTTAGAAAAGGACAATCTTCTTCAGATAGCGTATTTACACCAAACATTCTAATAGAAAGAAGATGAGAATATAATCTGGAAGCACACATAGCCTTTATTGACTATGTCAAAGTGTTTGACAGAGTTAGACGACCACTGTTGTGGGAAATTTTAAAAAAGAAGGGGATACCTTACCATATCATCCAAGTAATTAAAAGCCTATATGTTGGAACATGAGTATGTATTGACACTGGTTTCAAAATTGGCAAAACATTTCCGATTATATACCTTGGAGTACAACAGGGTTGTAGGTGATCTGGGCTGTCCGGGTGACGCCGCGTCGAAGGCTGAGTTGCCGACGTTTCGACCATCCTGTCGTGGTCTCAGCCTTCGACGCGGCGTCACCCGGACAGCCCAGATCACCCACATGACTCTGGTCACGGAAGCCTACGACTTCAACAGGGTTGTAGCTTATCAGTAATGCTGTTTAATCTATACATAGATGAAATGCTGAATGAACGGAACTGATATGCTTCTTATGGTATTGAGATGGCCGAAAACTTCCATTTCTTATTGCAAAATTCCATTTTTTACGCAGACAATCAAGTTCTGATTACTGAAACAGAAGATGAACTATAGCTCAATATGTACAAGCTCAGCAAAGTAGCTGAATGTTATAACGGGAAAATATCCCCTCTAAAACCAAAAGTATGGCATTTTGCAGAAAGGAACCAGTAAGATCTGAGATAGTGGTAGAAAAGTTCGCAATTTTAATTATCTAGGAAACTATGTATCATACAGCTACAAGAGAGACATAGAAAAGAAAAACTTTCACGGTTTCGGCTAGTGTTTGATGCCATAAGAAGAGCCCTTGGTAAGAAAATCTAAAAAGAAACACAGTTGAAATAGTATGAAAAAATGGCAATACCAACCCTGCCTTATGGTAGCGAATGCTGGGTTTTGAAACAAAGAGAAATGAGCAGAAAACAGGCATAAGAGTTAAAGTTTCTGATGGCAGTAAAAGGTTGTACGAAAACTGATCATATAAGAAATCAAAATATTCAAAAGGAACTAAAAGTTGGGTTAGTCCTCGATCAAATACAAAAATATAAAAGAAAATGGACCCAACATCTATGTGGCATGGAGGAGTGACGCCTTCCTCAAAAGTCAAAATATCGTCTGCTTGGAAAACGAGATCCCGGGAGACCAAGAAAACGGTGGGCCATCGAACCGGGACAGGCTGTTAGAACTAGGCCATGAAGATGATGATGGTGATGAAATTTATATGGGGCTCATTAGAAATGCATCAGTCAGATCATAGTATCAATATGTCTGATCTCTGCAATTACATATTAATACGAGTGTTTCACAGTGCTTCTAATATCATAATAGTAATAACATCTCGTGTTTAGCCTTGTTTTTAGATATAAGATAACTAGATAGAGGGTGTTCATTGTAAAATTGAACCCATTATGAATTTTATTTGTAGATAGTCTTACTCACTGAATAAAAAGTTTTCTTTTTAATGTTTAAAGCATGGTTTATTAATAATACGCTACTGCACATTTGTAACATTTTTTTATTCATTAGTTCCAAAGAGAAATGCAAAGTCTGAAAAATGAATGTAGTATTTATAGGATTATCAGGTATATTGATTTATTTTGATAAGATAAAGTTAAAAAATAAAAATA